AATCATCCATGGGTACTATTTGAATAAACAGCTTCTGAAACTCAGAAGTTTGTTTCTCACTCAAATCCTCCCAATTTATTTTTGTCTACTTGTAATTGTTAGGGCTTTTCTTATTATGGTATAGTAAGCAGACGTAAAGGCAGCATTTTCCCCGCAAAAAAATTATTAGACACACTTAAGCTCCAACTCCTTACTTGAAAAATGAATCTAACCTCACCTTTCTTATTTTACTCTTTTCCTATCACCATGGGTTAGCAACTATTTTTATCTTACTTGAAATCTCTATTTCTGAATCTTCTTTCTCTGTTTGTATATGAAAACCCTTATCGCTCTCTGTACATTTGTCAAGGGATTCCAAATGTACATTTTCAAAAGGCAACTGGACTTTTTCTATTTTCTTAACAATTCCAAGAGGCTTCTTCAGATGTCCATGCTCCTCAAATTCTCACAGTATTCGTTCACACCTCCAGTACTCTTCCCCTGCAAAATGTCCCCTTCCCCCTAGTTATGGCAGTTATAGTGAGCTTCAAAGAAAGCAAGATAGAAATTTGAAATCTTTCCTGATTTATGCATTTCCCATGCTATTCCTGGAATGACATTTCGCTACCTAAGGCCCTATCCTTGCTCTAAAAAATTAAACTTTTATAGAACTTTTATTGAGGATTTGGGCTTTCTTTATTATGATCCAATTAGAATTGGGATAAATGTGAAGAAAAAAAGATGTTCTATGTGAAACGGAATTGGTGGCCTTAAAATGACAGTAGCTACACCAGTGGTGGTGAACCTATGGCACGCGTGCCAGAGGCGGCACTCAGAGCCCTCTGTGGGCACACACGCTATGCCCTGGAGATGGCAACCGTCCCTCTTCAACCAGCCACCTGCTAAGTCACCGAGGTCCCACGTGGCTGGATGCATCCCAGCACCCATGCGCTCGCTGGCCTCTGTGTGTGGGGGCCGATGGTGTCAGGCAGCAGCCGCCCCGGCCCCTGCCTCACCTTGCCCTGCGACAATGGCACCCCCGCCCTGTCTCGCCTTGCCTCGCCCCACAGGATGAGCCTCCTGCCCAACGCCCCAACTGCCAGAGACCCCCCAGATCTCCCTCAATCCTGCCCGGCCCCCACAGGCATCCCTCCCCAAGAGCAACATTGAGGTGACCACGCCCACCCTGGCCACACCCACCCAGTCTGCCATGACCACCACAGCCACGCCCACCTAGTGGGCCATGCCCACCTGGCACCCGGTGATAAATAAGTGGGTTTTGGGTTGCAGTTTGGGCACTCGGTCTCTAAAAGGTTCGCCATCACTGAGCTACGCTGTTCATAATTAAAACACCAGATGCCTAGCGTTTGGTTTCCATTAGTGAATTCATCTCTTTTTGGCTTCACCTTGTGTCAGTCAGACTAAAAAAAAAACCCTTTCCTAATTCAGTAAATGGAATTAGGAAATGCATATATTTCAACAATTATATGGAACATTTGGCCATTGGTCCTCTTGAAGCTTTTCCCACATTTTAGAGATTTATAGGGCTTCTACACTCTATGGGTCCTTTTATGAGAGTTAAGATTGCTGTTTGTAATAAAACCTTTTCCACACACCATACATTTATACGGCTTCTCCCCTGTGTGGGTCCTTTTATGGTGGCTAAGGTTACCAGAGAGAGAAAAGCATTTTCCACATTCCATGCATTTATAAGGCTTCTCTCCTGTATGTATCCTACTATGGTAAATAAGTTGGGAGTTCTTAATAAAGCTCTTTCCACACTCCATGCATGTATATGGCTTTTCCCCTGTGTGGATCTTTCTATGGAAAACAAGTTCACTACTCTTACGGAAGCTCTTTCCACATTCAATGCATTTATAGGGCTTCTCTCCTGTGTGGATTCGTTTATGAATAGTAAGAGAAGAATTTTCACAGAAGCTCTTTCCACACTCTGTGCATTTATAGGGCTTCTCCCCTGTATGGATCCAGTAATGGGAAGCAAGAGAATTACCATGCAAGAAGCTCTTTCCACACTCCATGCATTTATAGGGCTTCTCCGCTGTATGAATCCGGGAATGCGAAGTAAGATAAGATCTAAAAGTGAAGCTCTTTCCACACTCCATGCATTTATAGGGCTTCTCCTTTGTGTGAATCCTTTTATGGGAAGTAAGTCTGTTGCTGTGAGTAAAGGTCTTTCCACATTCCATGCATTTAAAGGGCTTCTCTCCTGTGTGGATCCTTGTATGGGAAGTAAGACTGCTGCTCTGAATAAAGGTCTTTCCACATTCAGTGCATTTATATGGCTTCTCGCCTGTATGGATCTGGGAATGCAAAGTAAGAGAAGTACTAACAGTGAAGCTCTTTCCACACTCATTGCATTTATAAGGCTTCTCCACTCTATGGATCCGGTAATGCGAAGTAAGAGAATTACTACAAGGGAAGCTCTTTCCACACTCCATGCATTTATGGGGCTTACCTCCTGCGCGGATCCTTGCATGTGACCTAAGATGACTTCTAAAAATAAAGCTCTTTCCACACCCCATGCATTTATAAGGCATTTCCCCCATGTGGATCCTTTTATGGGAACCAAGACTGTTGCTGCGACTAAAGCTCTTTCCACACTCCATGCATTTATAGGGCTTCTCCCCTGTATGGATCCGGTAATGCGAAGTAAGAAAATTACTACAAGCGAAGCTCTTTCCACACTCAGTGCATTTATATGGCTTCTCCTTTGTGTGGATCCTTTTATGGGAAGTAAGACTGTTTTTTTGAGTAAAGCTCTTTCCACATTCCATGCATTTATATGGCTTCTCCCCTGTGTGGATCCTTTTATGGGAAGTAAGATGGCTGCTCTGAGTAAAGCTTTTTCCACACTGAATGCATTTATAGGGCTTCTCTCCTGTGGGGGTCCTTGTATGTAAACTAAGATGAGTTCTATGAATAAAGGTCTTTCCACACTCCATACATTTATATGGTTTCTCCGGTGTATGGATCCGGTAATGCGAAGTAAGAGAATTACTACAAGCGAAGCTCTTTCCGCACTCCGTGCATTTATAAGGCTTCTCTCCTGCATGTATCCTTTTATGGGAAGTAAGATAGCTGCTCTGAGTAAAGCTTTTTCCACACTGAATGCATTTATAGGGCTTCTCTCCTGTGTGGGTCCTTGTATGTAAACTAAGATGAGTTCTATGAATAAAGGTCTTTCCACAATCCATACATTTATATGGCTTCGCTCCTCTATGGATCCAGTAATGCGAAGTAAGAGCAGTACTAGAAGTGAAGTTCTTTCCACACTCCATGCATTTATAGGGCTTTTCTCCTGCGTGGGTCCTTTTTTGAGATGTACGGGACCCATTTTTATGAGGAAGAGACAAGACCCGTTTGTAATTTTTTCCATTGTCTTTACATATATAATCTTCTCCTTTGGTTTGAGTTTGATAGTATTTATTTACATCCAGTTTGTTTATGAATAGCTTTATATGTTTTCCAATAGATTTGTTTTTTATTTTTCCCTGTTGGGCCACAGGGGCTTTAGTTGGTGCATGAATAGAAGATGAATTTTCCCGATTGGAATTATTTGACTGGTTTCTCTCATGGCTTTCTTCTTCCATTAGAACTGCAGGGTTCTTCGTATTGTACCCACGAGTGATCATTTGGAATAGTTCCCAGGAATCTTCATATTCCTCCCCATTACCTTCACAGGAAAATAAAAATAAAAATAACTTTAGAGAAAAAGAGCAAAGCATAGGAAGTTTGAATATAATGAAAAACAAACTGCTTCAATATTCTTAGATGCAGAAGAATTTGATCTGGACTTTCCTGATTAAAAATTTGGAAGATAAAGCTAGGTTTGTATGGCAAGGGCAAAAACCATAGATTAAATATCAAAATCTCCAAAATTCGAAGGAAAGAACAGGATTTGGTTTGCCCGATTTGAAACTGAATTTTGTACTCTGCTATGTGGTTTGGATAAGAAACAGGAGTTGCTCAGAATTAAGAGAATGTTATAATTAGAAAGGCATGACAGAGGTTTGTATGCCATGGATCCTTGCGTTACGATAAATTTAGGCTCAATCTAGATTTCAAAACCATGTTAGAAATACATTGAGAATATGAAACAGACATAAAATTAGGCTGTGCCCCAAAACATCTTAATGACTCTCAGCAGAAAAAAAGCAACAGGAAAAGACAATGGATCACATGTCGAGAGCCATTAGAACTTGAGATGCTGGAATACCAAATTAAGTCAAGAATGGCTAAAGGATATAAAGGGAACAATAGTATTCAACAACATAAAGCAGAATTTGAATCTCAGTTGTGTAGAAAAGATATGTAATTGTTAAAAGCTCTAAGCAAGCTGAGGAATATGAACAGAAAAATATTCAAAAGTGAATAAATGTACCTCAAACTAATATTGAAAATGTAGACAAGATAAAGGATCATTTTATCATGCTCTTGTGGACTTGTAAAAAAGCTAGAAAAGTTTGAATTCAAAGACATTCAGTGATACAGAGAACTTTAAAGATTAATATCCAACTAAAATCAAAACACTTTATGTTGGCACTAATCAACAGTCATTGAAGATTGTTTCTGAGTACGACAGGCATAGTGAGACTATTATACACAAAAAGCTGGAAGTCCTCTAGAACAGTGGTTCTCAACCTTTTTAATGCTGCGACCCCAACCAGTCATAAGTCGAGGACTAAACCGGTCGTAAGTCAAGGACTAAACCGGTCGTAAGTCGAGGACTAAACCGGTCGTAAGTCGAGGACTACCCAACTGGTCGTAAGTCGAGGACTTTCCCTGCCCGGGAGCGCCGCGCATGCGTGGTTCCGCCCCCTGCGCCGGCCAAGGCGTAGCTGGCAAGCGGCAGAGACGGAGCAGGCTGACCACCAGCTGGCCCAGCCCAAGGGAGGTAAGGCACCCACCAGAAAAGGGGGAAAAAATGGTGGACAAAAAAATGGCGGACAGCCTTGCTTGGCGACCCCCATGAAATGGTCGATCGACCCCAAATGGGGTCCCGACCCACCGGTTGAGAACCACTGCTCTAGAATAAGTAGAATGGTGGAATGGTTGGGGAAGATGATAGAATTCTCAATGATGACTAAATTGAGTCTGATTAGGCAAAGGATCGTATCTATATTAGTGATTGTAAACCCGATGGACTTTTTGCTGAAAAAAAGAAAAAATGAACATGATCAAACTTATGTTTGAAGATTAGAAAGGATAAATTATGTAAAGGAGGAAACAATGAGGGGACAAATTATAACTTATTTATTATTTTTTCTTTTTTAATTTTATACTTTTTTCCTATTCATTAATGACATTACTCTATCTCTTTATTTCCTCTTCAAAATTTGTAGTTTTATTCTGAAAAAATTTCTTGCATATTCTTACCCAAAGAGGCCACGTTCCTATGATTTTCCAGCATGACTTCCCGATGCAGTGCTTTTTGGTCGGCATCCAGCTGAGACCACTCCTCCTTGGAGAAATACACAGCCACCTCCTTAAAGGACACAAGACCCTCCTGAATGAGAAGAAAACAGAAGAAAAATCAGGAGGATTTTCAAGATCTGTCTTATTATTTAAGTGATTCCAAGCAAAGATATACATTTCAGGCCATTTAATGAAATTAATCGCACTTTTCGTCTGGGTCTGCCTGTCTGTCCCCTTCCATTAGCAAGACTTTCAGCTCTGGAGAGAATCAACTGGCATGGGCCTTGGAAACCCCACCCATCACTCATTCCAATCAAACCAGTGTTTGCAAAAGAAAATGTGATGGTGGTGGTTCTTTTTACAATTTAAGTAAAAGCCTTGTGGTGTCTCCAGAACACACAATCTTATCCATGCTCAAAACCTTCATTAAAGTTGTTTGAGAGCCACCCAAGGATTTTCATGGCTGTCATGAATAGACAAAGACGTGCAAGCCCTGTTTTGGCTGCTCCTCAGATTACAAGGAATCCACTGCTTGTACCCCAACCCAATGGCTGAAGAAGAGAAACCTTTTCGGGAAGAGCATTTCTCATCCTTTCCAAAGCTGGAGTGTTTGGTCCCAAATTCAAGGCACAAATCGGAGTATTAGAAATTCCTTTAAAAGTTGAAGGGCTTTGATCTGCCCACCCTCTTTGGATTTCAACAGTCTGCTTCATCTTTTAACCTGGTGCCATTATTTTCTTATCACTGGCTATAAACAAGGCGTTTTAGAAGCTGTAAGGTGCCAATGCGATTCCTTCAGTTATTATTGAGTAGCCTTGCAGAATTCCATTTCAAAGAATTAATAAAAGGATCACTATTCAGCAAACACTAAGACTGAAAATGTTATTTTTTATCATCATCTCTTACTTTAGTTGGAGCTTCAACTACTCTTTCAGTACCACCATAAAAAGGAGTCAAATTCGTTCTATTCTTCCCTGTGAGGGAGACAGATATGGATAATTAATAAAATAGAAGGAGGCATTCTAGAGAAGAGAAGAGATAGAGAATGTAAGACAACTGGGACCTCTCTTGGGAATGGGTGGACTTTTGATTACCATCTGAGATGTCCTGAGTTGCAGATTCCTGGTAGATCTTCCTGGAAAACAGCTCCCGAGGGAGATTTGATGGATTCCTGATTCTCATAGGATCTGTCTCCAGAGTGAAGTACTTGAAATAGGAGGCAGGAGAAAGAAAAATAAATAAGACATCGCACAGCATGAAGTGGATTCTTGTTCTCTAAAAACAATTTCATTGCCTCAATATCTGTCAAAGAGCCTAGAATGTAAGAAAGGAACAGTTGTCTTCAGCCTACTAATAGTCACTTATTTACGACCATAATTGAGCCTAACATTTATGTTGTTAAGTGAGACATTTGTTAAAGGAGCATTTTATGACCTTTCTACCAACAGTTGTTAAGTGAATAATTGCAATTGTTAAGTTAGTCATACAGTTTCCCTACTGACTTTGCTTGTCAGGTCACAAAAGCTGTTGAGATGACCCTTCCTGTCACGTTGGCAGTATTTATGCTTGGTCAACGGTTCGGAGACTTAAAACTAGTACACTGGTACCCCTACGATGTTGCCCACATTCACACTTTTTATCGGTATTCAGTGAAAAAAAGTCGCGACAACGTTGAAACTTGTCAGTGATTTACTTGACATTATACAGCTCCTGGTGGACGTATAAGATCTTACCTATTAGGAACGATGTCCTGCAAAAACTTACTAGTGAAACATCTCCACATATTATGAAGATGAGAGAAGTATAGAAAGTAGTGGTAAAGAATCCGAACACATTCTTTCCCTTCTGGACTTCCAAGATGAAGGTCTCTCACCTGCAATTCGACCTGCTCCTCTGCCTGACTCATGAGGAAGCCTTCCGCCAGGGCCACTGCTTGGCAGCTGGTCTCTGCTCCACACTCCTGCAACCAGTTTTCCACCTGTGGGGGCAGAAGAGCCAGGAGCTGCTCCAGAACTACTAGGTCCAACATCTGGGCTTTGGTGTGCTTTTCTGGTCTCAGCCATTGACTATAAAAGTTGTGGAGTTGGCTGCAAAGTCCTTGGGGACCGTCAATCTCCTCATATTGGATGTTTCTGAAGTTGCAGGGCTGAATCTCTGAACGAATGATGGTTTTCTCCTCCAGGAACCTCTGCTCAGTTTTTGCCCAGATCTTCCCACAGCTGCCAGGCTCAACAGCAGAGGGACCTTTTCCAGTTCCCTCACTTGCTAACGGTTGTTTCTGCATCCTTCGTCTGTCCTGTAAGGAAATTCCAGATAGGTCGGAGGAATCTTGTGCATCTCCAAACACCTTTCAATTCATAGGACTATTCCTGTAGCTGCAGAACTGACCAAAGGCTATCCAAGCCCTTTGTTGTTAGGAAGGTTGTTGACATTACTCTAGTTTCTGCATCTGAAATGGAAAAGAAAATAAATTCAAAGAATGAGAAGGTGGTGGACTTAACCACTGAACAACATTCCTCTTCATGAAAGAGAAGCTGGTAAAGGATTGCAATGGTATTTAGCACGTGGATCTTCTGGGTATTTGTGTGTCTGTCTGTCCATCAAATGTGGTGTAAAATATGGTCCTAGATTACATCAAGACATGGAATGGGCCAATCATTTCCTTGACTTTTTTCTTGTTTTTTAATGTTGAAAGAAACCTTTTTTTTGTTATTTTTGACTCTGGTCGCAAACCTTAGTTCATTTTGATCCTTAGCTTTCCTCACTTCATCTTTGCAGGCTCGGGCTATTTGCTGATATTCTGACTTAGTTATGTGCCCCTCTTTCCACTTTCTATACTTGTCCTTTTTATCTTTCAATTGATCAGAGAGTTCTTTATGCAGCCATGCTGGTTTCTTTTGAGAGCTGTTATTTTTCCTCTTTGT